CCCCCCCCCCATGAGTGTAAATACCCTTGATGGCACTTTTCAGAAATCAAAGTTTGATAACCTGCGACATCTTCTTATAGTTCTTTTTTGATTTCCTGACACACTCCATTTAAAAAACATGCTGTATTTTTTAAAAGTTAAATTTAATTTGTTTGAGGATGTTTTTGAGAATTTTGCAGCATCCTTAGAGATAATTAAGAACAGTTCATTTACAGAGCTGGGGGTGGGGTGGCTGTCTCTGAGTCCCACATGGACGGAGTGTTGTGTGAGTGTCATACAGCTGGCAGGTTACAGTGACAGTTCATAAATGAGTTGTCTCTTCTGCCTGCCTGTTAAACTAGCCAGCTGACTGATCCACAAGGTGTTCTGGAGCATTTAGGTTGGCGTGTTATTAAAAAAAACAAAAAGACAGAAATGTTGATTGTCTCCATGTACATGTAGAATTTCTCAGAATTTCTCGGGAGATGCACTTTTCCTGAGTTTATTTAAATAAACCAAGATCCTCTTGGCCGATGCCTTTGCAGAAGCCTCAGGGGTCATAACTCGACTGCCTTTTCTTTCCGTAGGGTAATAAAGCCAGAGGCCTTCCGGAACATTCTGCCAGCCTGGATCTGGACAGCTCCGTGTCTAGCACATTAAGTAACACCAACAAAGTAAGCACGTTTTTCTTTATGTGACACCCTGAGGAAGCCAGCGAGGAGGTCTCGCTCATCTATGTACAGGGCCTATCAGAAGGGACAAAGAGGCCTCCTAGCTCCACTCATGAGAAGCTTGGTGCTTCCAGACTTGGTGGTGCCATGGAGGGCTGGTCATGCAATTATACTTAACATAAAAGTTTTACATAGCCAAGCAGATGGCTATTCTGTAAACAAAGAAACGAGATCATACATTCAGACCACTGAGATCTGCTTTATCACAAAGCCACCAATGGATTGCTTTCCCAAGTAGCTTTTCCATTATTAAAAATAATGGAAATTGGGCAAACCTTAGAAGTGGGTTTGTGAATTCTGAGAAATATTCAACTTAAATTCCTGGAACTTATTTTATTCTTCAGCTGACTCTGTGATTATGATTAAACATTGCTGTTTTATTTAAATAAGCAGCTAAGTTGTAGCCCTCACATCTGCCCCCAAGCACAGCTTTGTGACAGTGACAAAGCCAGTGGTTCTCTTTGGTGACAAACCTGTGTCTTTGTTTTAATTTCTTGCTTTCTAGTCATTTAAGCACATTTAAACTTGGCTAGTTCAATTTTTTAACCACCGAGATGTGGATTTCGGGTTTTGTGCAGAGGAGGTCAGCTTTCCTTCTACCAGAGGGCTTCAGACTTAAGAGAGGAATTTTTGTGGCGCCCAGCTCCTTCCCACAGCAACTCCAGGTTCTTCTGAGATCTCTACTGGGCTCATGGCTTTTAAAGTTTTTAGGTCATAAGCAGCAGTAAGAAACATTTAACATTATGAAATGATTCATAAACACATACATACTCACAAAATTAAAATGTCACAAAACAATGTTTACTGGTATTCTCTGTTCTATTTAAAAGGTGTTCATGGCAGAGCTCTAAATTGGCATCGCTGCCTACTAACATGTTTCCATTGCAGTTTGAGGAACACACCTTAGACGAGTGCGTCTCAGACTCTGAGGCACGTCTTCAGTGGGTTCTGGTTAAAATGCAGGCTCTGATTCTGCAGGCCTTGCATGAGGCCAGACACACTGAACTTGTGACAAGCTCCCAGGCGATGTCAACGCTGCGGTCTGGGAACCCACTTTGGGGAGTCAGGCCCTGCACAACAGTCTTCTGAATAGATTTTCTGAGTTAAATCTCACAGAATGTTGCATCATCTGCCCTCGGTTCACCACGTACTGATTCCACCTTGTGATTCATTTCAAGTTTGGAAACATTATACTCTGCTGTATATAGATGACTACACAGAGCCCCTGCGCTGTAGGAACTTGTCTGGTAGGGGAGAGGTAACGGATCCACAGGTGACACCAACACCAAGTAGAGTCTGGTAGGAGCCCGGAGGGTTTGCATAGAAGCAGCGGTGACTTAGCAGTCACAGGAGCGAGGGGAAGCAGAGCTGTAGTTGGTCAGGGGAACCCGGGAAGGCTTGGGGAGGGGGCAGTGGTGCTTTTAAAGAAAGTGTAGGGAGCGAACCTCTGGAAATGGACCAGGATGCAGGTGTTTCAGGTAGATCACTGGGAATAAAGATGCTGTGAAGAACTCATGTCACTCAGGTGGCTTTCCCAGTAAGCCTGGCTTGTTCGTTCTTCCCCAAAACATGCACCTAGGAACGTACACAGAGCTCGCGTTTCTAGGGTGATGCTAAGAGAACTGCAGCTTTCACCAGCCCCCTGTGTGTGTTGTATGTGTGTGAGTGTCTTTACGTGCACGTCTTTACACCTTCGTTTCCACCCCCCCCGAGGTTGAGAAACTGCTGTAAGGGTACGCATTTAATGCCGTTGGGTCTCTTCCCATAAACTGGTCATCCAGGAGTAGCAAAGAGCTGAACATCCAAGTGTCCTGTTCAGGTGTAAGATTAAGCTAAGGGTTGGTTAGCCCTTCCGCAGAATTTGGAGAGGTGTCAGTAAGAACTGAGGTGAACAGGTCTGCATGGTGGAGATTGTTTGCTGTGATGCATTGTCTTAGACAAGTTTTTAAATCCTTGCATGAAAAGGATCTTTGGAACTATAGTCCTGAAGAATAAAACATTTTAGTTATGTTCAAAATTTCATCTTGCCCAGCCGGGCGTGGCTCAGTGGTTGATTATCAACCTAGGATCCAGGAGATCGTGGTTCGATTCCCAGTCAGGGCACATGCCCAGGCTGCGGGCCCCATCTCCAGTCGGGCGTGAAGGAGGCAGCTGATCATTGACGACTCTCATCATTGATGTTTCTCTCTCTCTCTCCCTTTCCCTTCCTCTTTCTGAAATCAATAAAGATATATTAAAATAAATAAATAAATAAAATATCATCTCATAGTATGTTGGGAATTAAGCTTTCCCTATCTAATTCCTACAAAATTAAGTGTGTATAATCTTTCCCCTCAATAAACATAAATTTAATTTCTCAAAATTAAAATCCTTAGTACCAGTCATCTAAAAGGCACTCAACTGTTTTAACAAATGAACAGAGAGGATTTAGATTCTGCAGTCCACCATTAGATGCATCCATTCCTTTTTACTCTTTTCATGCTGATTTGTTTATCCCTTCTAGCAATTTCAGTAGGGACAAGCTAGTATACTTCCTCTTATTTTATATTTTTTTAATTGAGAAAAATATATTGGCCACCAACCAAGTCCTGGGCGTTCAGTGCTAAGCATCGGTTTGAGTGGTGGTAGTTCATACCTTTGAAAAAGAATGAAAGTCTACAGTATTAAAATATTGTTGTGATTCTCAACAAATGTTTGAGTACCCACCCACTCGGTAAGTTCACTGAGTACCTAACAAAACAATAACTTATAGTTGTATAACATTTTACAGTGAATAAAGTACTTTCAGTCATAGGATACTTCTTAATTCTGAGGTGCAGAAAGACGATAAACGATTGGCCCTAAATTGTGGCAGTAAGTGCCTGGCGAGAGATTTTCCATACTCTTAAGAAAAATCGAGGATATCGTTTTTAACCCTCAAGATTACCAAGTTCAGTTTTCACGATAGATCAAATTCAGAGCCTTAAAATGTGGGTGTAACATCCGTGGACACACTTAGCAGAGAGAAAGAACTCGATTTGTGTAAACAGTGCCGACCAGTTATACAGCCCTCGCTAGGCTCCTTAGAGCAGCAGTTGAGTTGCGATTTCTGGAGAGGAAGCTTAGGGCTTCGCTTGGAACAGTTGTATGCTACGGTTTACGCCCTTCACGCTTCAACTGGGCAGTTTCCCATTTGTCTCACAGACGAGCACTTTGTCTCTGACAAGCAGGCACCAGAGGGCCTTCATTTCCTTATGTATTTTGGTGGCCTCCAGATGGCATTATAATCGGACGTGCTTATTTATCGATGGAAAGGTTTCCCTGCTGCTGGGGCTAGAGATTCGTCCACCCCACAGACTTCCTGGGATACGCCTGACCTGCTGTCTGTCTGCCGCAGGGGCTGTCCGTGTGCGAGAAGGAGGCCCTGCCCGCGTCGGAGAGCAGAGCCAGGCTCCTGGGCTCCTCAGACGACCTGCCGCCCGGCCACCCGGCGGGCTGCGCGGAGGAGGAGCCCGCCCCGCTCTGCGCCCAGCAGGGCTTCCGACGGCGCGCCAACACCCTGAGCCACCTCCCCGTGGAGTGCCAGGAGCCTCCGGAGCCCGCCCAGGCCTCCCCGGCGGGCTCGCAGAGGAAACTTATGAGGTACCACTCAGTGAGCACAGAGACGCCTCATGAGCGAAAGTAAGATTTGTTTCACATGTAACTTTGTTGTATAAAATGGTGGGGCCATACCTGTTACTAGCCAGGCCTGTGCGTCCCAGGTATGTTTATTGGGCCAACGAGAAACCTGAGTTAGGGTTTTACTCTTGGCTTAAAAAGATAAAACTTGTAGTGCCAGGCTCCTCCCCTCCCCCTTGGGAAACATAGATGTAATAGATACTTGTTACGTGTTCAAATGACCCGTACAAGCCTTGCGAGGAAGCAGGCGACACGGGCAGAAATGGCCCTGATGATGTACAGTGACCGCTGCTCACCCAGCCTGGAGGCAGTATTGACTTTGGAGCTGGCGTCTGGCTTCGAGGAGCAGGGAGGGGCCGCAGGGGAGGGTACTCCCCGAAAACCTGGAGCATTTCCTCTGGGGACTGAGCCAGCGGTTGCCACCGAGGGGAGCGTGGGAGGCGAGGTGGCTCCCTGTGCTGGCTGCGGGGCTGTGGACCCTGCTCCTAGCTCTGTCCTGTGCTGGCTGTGACCTGGGCAAAGGTGCTTAAATCTCTCTTTGACCAAATTGGAACAGATGTTTTTCTAAAATCTCCATGGGTGTGAGAATTCTAGAGTCTTCTAACAAGATTTACTGATTTTAATAATTGGGCTCTAATTGGAATTTTCTGGTTACAGAGATGGGTAAGTAATATAGTGACAGAAGTTTTCCCTGTTCCTTCTGGGGTCCCTTGGCAATGCTTTTGACCCTAAGTGTCAGAGACCATAAGTGGATAGAGTTATCTTTTAAAATAACTTTAAAAAAATTTTTGCAACCCCTCACCTCATAAATATGAAGTAGGGCCACACCTGCCTGCAGTCTGCCTCCCTCTGGCAACAACAGGGCCACAGGATGTGTGTCAGTGCAGGTCATGCACGGATAATGGACAGTCCACGTGGGGGGGGGGTGGAAATGTTGAGGACAGCGTTAAGGGTCCTCAAACGATAGAGCCGAGCCTCTCAGCTTTGTCTTCATCAGCCATTGAAAATAGCTACTGTGGTTCTTTGGAATTCAGCTTGATAACCATGATCCCCAAGCAGGACATACTTCAGAAGCCAACATTTAATATGACATTTTAGAGGCAAGCGTAACTTGGGCCTTACGAGGTTCTTGTCATGTTTCTTAAAGCCTGTATCACACGAGGTACCTATATTCTGGCATTTTCAGTGATAACGCAAACATTCCTGTCTAGAGATTCCTAGTTCCCTTGCTAAGCCTGATGTTTCACATAAGGCAGAGGTGGTGGGAATTAGTATCCCTGACAGCACATGTCCCTTCCCCCCTAAGAATGCAGCTTCCCAATGGATCATGCTGGACATGGGTGCTGAGGGGGACGGGGGATAGGGAAACGTCCCCCTCTCCCCCTCTTCCCTCCTCTCCTCTCCCCCCTCTCTCCTACCTACTTGCTTTCTGCACCCCATAGGAACTCTTCTCATTTACATACAGGAAATGAGGCATTGACATTCAAGGCACGTTATTGTTCATTTTCAAGAGAGATGTATTTTTAAAACTCTGGATTTTGTTTTGCTTTCCTTTGCTTTTGTTTTAATTTTTTAAAAAATTTTCCTGTCAGTTCCTAAAAAGGGAATAGAGGAAACAGTACTATGGGGCATGGAGATATGTGGGAAATGACCAAGAATGACCTTCACAATACTCTGTTTTTTGGGGTTTTTTTTACTAAAAACTACCTTTGCCCCTGAGAGTCGGGATGCAGAAGCGAAGTGACGTTCCTGTACATAGTGAGACCCCGCCTCTTGCCCGCTCTCTCGTGCCCTCTGTGGCTCCCCTGTCCGCCTCTCAACCCCAGTGCTTTCTCTCTAATTGCTGTTTAGTGGGAATCATCCACCTGTTGGCGAATCTAAAAGTTGCTCAGGTCCTTCAGTTCCTGCTCCTTCACCTCGTCTTAACCCCTCCGCCTCCTCACCAAATTTTTTTAAGTACCTAAAACATAATTCCAGTGGAGAACAGAGTGGGAATGCTGTGCCGAAGAGGTGAGCGCACTCGCATGGCAAGTTCAGTGTCGTTCGTCTTCCTGGGAGGTGCGCACAGAGAGGGTGTGCCGCATGGAGGGAGCCTGGGCCACGCGTGTGCGTGTGTGTGTGTGTGTGTGTGTGTGTGTGTCGGTTTTGGGTTTTATTATTTTCATTATTTTCAGTCTATCATTCGAACTGACTTAATTTTGCTACTGATTAATTTTCTCAAAATTAAATTTTTTTCCAAATTAATTTTCTCAAAAGGTCTTGATGGCGAGCCATTTTTCTATACTTATTTTCACATTCTGCTTCCCCAGTGTACACACACACACACACACACACACACACGCACACAGGCTAACAACACTGTGTTTGACCATATACACTGCAGTTTGTACCACATCAGAAATGGCCTTATTCCAATTTAAAAGAAAGAGTCACTTTGGAAGATGGACTGATTTTTTTGGTTGTTGTTTTGATTTTCTTTTATTCTGGTAAGAGTGCTTATCAAGAGATCTACGCTCTTAACAAATACTTAAAAGTGTGCCGCACAGTATTGTTAACTCTAAGCACAATGTTGCATGGCAGCTCTCTAGAATATTCATCTTGCATAACTAAATGGACTGCTGTTTTTAAATTAACTCATTGGTTTCATTCCTTTAAAGTGGAATTTTATTAACTGAAAAATGAAAGTTAAATATCACTTGTAAACTATTTTTAATTTCTTACCTGGTTTACTTTTCTTAGCATTAGAACTGAAATGTTTCTTTTATTTTGAAGCTGGTGTTTTATACTCTGTATGTTTGTATTTCTTTATCCTAAACTCTCTTTTCAACCAAACTCTCAGCATCTCCTACCGTAATGCCCTGCGGAAAAAACTCCACTCTTCTTCCTCTGTGCCAAATTTTCTAAAATTTCTGGCTCCTGTAGATGAAAATAACACCTCTGACTTTATGAACACAAAAAGGTAGGGTTTACTTTAGCTATCTCAAGCCTGGGTAGAAGTGTTGAGCTGTTAAGATATACAGGGATTGCCAGCTGTTCTTTTGCCATTTAAAAAATAATTTTAGCTAAATCTATTGTGTCTTCTTCCTTATACTTGTATTTTACTGATACCATTTTAAAAAATGTGCTGTCAACCTGTTCTAATTTTGATGAGGATTAGTTTATTGATATGTTGTTGTTTTCAGAAGATTAAAGAAGGTCTTAACCAGTTTTCTCAGGGACAGCAGTGCTGTGGATAGTAAGCCTGTGGCTGGGTGTCTGATCTGTAGGTGCAGGTGATTGCTTGGTTGTGGGTATGTGTACAGGGTTGGCAAAAGTGGGTTTACAGTTGTGAGTACACGAAACACAGAGGTTATTGTATTATTTTCCATGTGCATGACTGTAAGCCTCCTTTTGCCCACCGCTGTATGTGTACACTCAGGTATAAATTATAAGGGCTTCCCCAAGTTGTCCTGTAAATAGGAAGAACATTAATGGTTAGATTTTATTTATATATATTGATATATATACTTTGTTTTATAGTTTTAAAAATACAAATGTTAAAGCAATAGTCATCAGCAAGTGATCGTGTAATTGCTGCCTTGACCATTCTATGTAACTTAACTTTTTTATTTTTTGTGGTCATCTGTGGAGATGTAGGCCTATGCTGAGAAAATACTCCCACAGACAGACCAGGGAAGATAGTGGCCCTGCTGACAGCACCCCCTTTAGGCAGTTTCTCATACAAAGATAACTTATAATATAGTGCTGTGTTTAAAAAAAAACAAAAAATCAAGCTAAAATACATGTTTCTACCTCCTCACCAGTCATAAATTATCTTGTAATTTTAGAGACTTTGACTCCAAAGCTCACCATCTCGGCGACACCAGTGGGACCTCTGTGAAGACCCGGAAACACTCATGGAGGCAGCAGATATTTCTCCGCGTGGCAACCCCACAGAAAGCGTGCGATTCTCCCAGCAGATACGAAGGTAAGGTCACCCCAAGAATAAAACTGCTAGATTCTGGCGTGAGTTCTACCTGTAACAAAAGTACTACGGTGGAAGAAGAGGTGCAGTGGGATTCCCAGTCAAAATCATCCCCGATTTTAAAGCTCTGTGGGTAAGAAGCTCAAATGACAATGCCTATCACTATTTTCAGAGGGTCCCCAAATTCCACAGAAACCCGTAACAGGACTCAGCAGCTAGCAACACCTTGCGTTGAAAACGGCGCCTCTGCCAAGCTTCTGTGATCGCTCACCACCCTGCCCGTGGAAGTGTTGAGAGGCTCAGCCTGACACCCCCACTTTTCCCCTCCCTTCTCACGGTGTCCCCAAGCTTGTCTGTATTCCCTCTCTTCGATCTACATGTAGATTTACACACTACCTTAGTGTGGTTTGGTTTTAGAGACACCCGATCCCAATGCTCTGGTCACATTTGTGGTGCACTGTGTGCTCTCAGTTGCTGTCTGGTGTCACGGTGCTGAGGTCTGTCTTTAGGCCTTCTTATGTTGAGTTGTATTGTAAAATATGAATTTAAATGCAGTTCTTTTGGCTAAAATCAGTATTTTTTTCTGCACAGCAATATCATAAACTTTCAACAGTGTTTACTTTCTTTAATTTTCTTTAATCAGAAAACATTTTTTTCCCTTGAAAAAGCAGACCTCCAAAGATTACTTGAGTTCCTCAGACTGTTTGTAGTGTGAATTTACTCTTGTCCCTTGACACACTTCTGCATATCTCTTAGGAAGCAGCAGGGACTAATCTGAGTTTTTAGACTTTGGTTCCTTGCTCCTGCTTTGGGGGAAGTGGCACTATTGGAAGACCCCTTCCCCCTACCCCTGCACCCTCGCTTTCCTCACCCTCCACCCTTCTTTCTTGTTTCCTCTCTCTCTCCCATTCTTTCCCTTCCTCCCCGAGTTCTCATTAATATTTAATTTTAAAAAAATGAATTCTCTGCCAAATTAAACAGGAGTCTGGTTTGGGCCCAGCTAGTTTTATGATATAAATCATATAACTTCACTTACACTTAGTTCTTTTAGTTGTAAAACAGTTACAGTAATGTTGGCTCTTCCTGTCTCATGGAATTACATTAAGTTATACAGGTGAAAGCACTTTGAAAACCTAAAGACATGTCAGACATAAAGTTCTAACATTGTTTTGGTCACCGTTACTGAGCCTGGAGCACTGGTGTTCGGCTTCCTGTACACCAGAGCTGTGGTTCCCCAGCAGGAGCCGCGTAAGGGAACTAGAAAGACTGGGTTTATAAGTTCAGTGAGATTTAAAATATTTTTCAGTAAATTGAGTCATTTCAATTTGTGCCAATTTAGAAAGTTTAGTTTTAAAGGTTTCATTTTGATGTTGGAGAAAACAGTGACCTAGGTTGTGTGACCCAGTTCCCTCCTTTTTAAGCTTCTAAGCCAAGTCTGCTGGGGTGGTGCCTGTGGAAAATACTGGGCTCGTAAACTGGGCAGTGTGGGGGCTTCTCCTGGTAAGCAGCCCTGGCTTCGGGAGTGGCTGGTGACTTCTGCAGGCCCCACCCCAGCACTGCTCTTTGCCCGCGTGTGTGGAAGTGTGACGAGTTCTGGGCACCGGCATCTCCCACTTGGTGTCTGAGGACCTGGGTCAGAAGGTTGGTCAGTTCTGGCAGATGTTTGCTTCTCTGGAGGGCCCGAGATAAAACGGGCGAGTGGGATGGCCTGTGGGCTGATGAGAGCGTGCGTCCTCGTGTCACCGCAGTGGGTAGAAATGCTAGGGAAGGGAAGGGGGAAGCGCACCACAATTTGTGTCCGCACACTCTTTTATGGAAGCTTTTCTTTTTCATCAGTGTACTTTGGGAATATTGTAAGAGATGGATATTTAACTTCGAGTTGCATTCTTATTTCTGATATTTGCAATTGATAGGGATCTTTGGTGAATTCTGGGCTTGCTGACACAGCGGGGCAAAAGTATGGAGTGAATGAAATGGCATAATGCGTTGTTGCCCCCGAGGTCAGAGCACTGGTTTCCAGGGAACTGAGAGTGTAGCACTTGGTATTGTCTGCCTCCCTCAGTGGAAATTGTTCTCAAAAGAGCACCAGAGCCCTAGCCGGTTGGCTTAGTGGTTAGAGCCTCAGCCCGTGGATGGAAGGGTCTGAGGTGCGGTTCCGGCCAAGGGCTTGTCCCTCTGCTGCGGGTGCAGGCTCGATCCCCGGCCTGTGAGGGCGTGTGCGGGAGGCAGCCAATTGATGTGTCCCTCACATCACTGTTTCTCCCTCCTCCCCCC